CTAGATGCCACTAAATCCTACGTGCTGGTCCAACTCACTCAGTCAGAAATGTGAATGAACAACTATTTTTTTTTAATTTTCTTGTGTGTCCTTTTCCTATTTAAATGTTTGACTCATTTGGTAAGACAGTGAAGGGCAACAATAAAGATGTGAGCATGTGGACAAGCTCCCAGCCAAATTCAATCCACAGCAAATCAGTGTCACAGTTACATAACAAGCGCTGCGGCTGCTGGGTCACCGAATGAAAAAAAAATTATAGAAGATTAAACTGTGCTGTGCATTTGGAATAACCTTAAACCTGGCATTTGAGAATGTGGCAATATGGGTGTAAACGTATGTATGGCACTTGAGTTGCAACATACTCATTTCTAAGTATTCATCAAAGAGTCCATAGGCATTCATTGGCTGTAGATTATAATCTCTCTCCCACTGTGGGAAGCTGGCCTTGGCTTTCTGTCCGTGCTCTCTCCTCAGCTTCCGCCGTGTCCACCAGTTCTGGATCAGCCTAGCAAAACAACAACAGAACAAACAACAACAGAGGACAGGAGAAACGATTGAGTCAGTACAGACACAAGTGGATCTAATTTCATCTGCTATTACAGGTCAGCAATACAGTCGACTGTTACTATATCTGGCTGAGGATATTTCTGGTTTTAGATATTAATATTTAATTTTTTTGTTTGGTCAGACACATATTGGTGTGTCTGACATTTGCAGGTTATATAAAAAAACACTAACGGGTAGCCAAGCTCCATGAAATTGTTCCAGGTCTGTTTTAGCACCATGATGATCCCCATCTGCAAACAGAGGTCAATGAGACAGCCACTGGGGTGACACTGCAGAACCAGGGAGAGAGAGAGAGAGGATCAAATCAAACTGTAGCCCTTTCTAATAATGTAATAATGGCACTTTTTATAATATAAGCAAAGATTGATGCACTCTGCATTGCAGTAGAAGACTGGTCATTCTTCTGTCAGGTTTAATAAACTGTGTAAGCCACTAGCTGCGTTTCCATCAGAATACTTTTATGCACATTTTGAAGTATTGCATCAAAAAAGTTGAATGGAAATGGCAGAATTCCAAAAAATATTTTTGCAAAAAACGTTTTTATGCTCGCTTAACCCGGGTTTGAAAGTAAAATGCAGTCATATGAATGGTAAAACACATCCAAACCAATGGTATTACATTTTTGGAAAAACTGTTTCCTCTTTCTTTTTTGTGAGTTTTAATTGGTGTGCACAAATTGGTAGTTCGATTGAGGTAAACATCACACACATATTGTATGATTTAAGTATACTGTAGAGATTAGTGTATAGTACATGCATCATTCAAGATATAGAGCCAGGGAATTGTTTATACGATGACTGACAGAGGAGAGTCACCGGTCGGTCCAGATTAAAAATTATGTCACATTGTGGTGCAGTCTGCAGCTCAGATCAACCTGTCAATCTACGCAGTGCTTATCAAATATAAATGGACCAAGCACCGCCCTGACGTGTCACACGTGTGCCTCAGCGCTACGTCACTCATTTGGCTGCTCTGATTGGTTGTAGGTCAATCCAATTGTTTTTATTCTGCGCCTACTGATAATGCACTTTGGGAATCGGGGAAAACAGAGGTTAAAAACTAATTTTCATTTGTGAATTAGTCTGGTGATGTATACAGCATTTTACTCAAAAATCAAGTGTTTTTAGTACTTTTTAGTAGTCACTTTTCTGGTGTGAGAACACTACGTACTCAAAACCTGCTTAGTGTCAGGTATTCGGACACACTATAGATATATCAAAAAGTCACTGTGCTTGTATATATTGGTTGGCATTTCCATCTTTTATTCCATGGGTAGATTTTAAGTGTATCTGTATTTGTTTCAGACTTTAATATCGATAATCCTGACTTGCAAAGAACTGTTGCTTTTTTTTAAATTGCTTTATGCTGTAATTTCTTCCTTCTAACATTATTATATAGCTGTATCCTGTGCAGCACAGGTACATTACATAGCCATAAAGAGGCTGACTGAGGCTGCACTTGTACTGTACATGTCACATTAGAGAGAATTTTCCCAGCAGCTGTGGGAACAAGTGGGAGCGCATTAGCTCAGCACCTAAAAGCGCCAGCTCAGGCCTTTTGTCCCCTTAGACCACTTCAGTGTGTTGTTTCCCCGCATGTTCCCATAAGTACTGCTGGCAGCAGCGCTTACTGCTGGTGGGGGTTAAATGCCTGGTGGTTGGGCATACAGTAATAGCTTAGTGTCCAATTTAGAAATACTTAGATCCATAACGCTTTGCTGTTATTCTCCCATGGGAGAGCAAAGTAATGACTCACTTCTTCCAATTTCCAGCGATTGATGAGGCGTAGATATGCACCAGGCCGGCCTGTAAATCTGTCAACCAAGAAAAAGAACAATCGTTTTTAAAATTAAGTTTTTTCCTACATCAAGTGGCAGCTTTAATATTATTCAATATCAGCAGACTTTGGTGATTGATGTGTTTAATATCTAACATACTGACGTATATAGACAAACCAAAGGAAAAATGGAGATATAGTGTGAGAATCCTGCGTGTCCCATGGGGAATTCTGTGACGAGAAGTATTTCTTGTGGTGTGCCTCAAGGCTCTGTCTGTTTAAAAATACAGTGTCTGTCTTTGTTGTTACTCAGACGACACACACATCTACATTTCTGTTTCATCCAAAGACATCAGTAAGTTTTGTTATTGAATGTAATTTTTAAGCACACGTCTGTAGTGCCACAGTTGCCTTCATCTAAAGAGTCACATCATTTCTCTCGTGGTGCAGCCTTACAATTACAATTGTCTTGACAAAAGCCAGGATTCCCTCCAAAAACTCCCTATACTGAAGCCTCCACATTGGCTGTTTGATGAATTGATTTTAACATAAACACCACTTTTCTGCTGTTTACTTTGTTACCTTTGCAACAAAAGATAACTTTCCATAGTTGTGAAATCCTGTCCCAGAGTATTCTACACCAATGTTTTAACGTCTAAGAAGTCCCAAAATGCAAGGATCTTGCACTCAAACAGGACTTTCTGGATCATCTTTCGCAACACACTTGCAAGTGCTTGCGTTGTTTTACCGCAGGGCTGTTTTCTGACGCCCGTAAGCCTACAGTGGGGCTGGATTTAGTTAATACATACTTGCAAATTCTCAAACAATCTTCCTGTAGATTTAAGATTCTGCTGTATCTCTTCTACTGTTGTTTTTTTACAGTATTAATCATTTCAAAAATGTACCTTTCTCTGTCTTCTTCTACACGTATCTTTCATCTTTATTTATGTATGAAAACAGACTATATTATTATTATTATCACCGTTACTGTATGCATCTACTGTGGCTGTGAGGTGCATGAATGTGTCATATCTGCAGTGGCACATGCTGTAGTTACTGTATTTCTGCACGACTTCCGCACCTTCCCAAAAAGAAGGCGATGTAGAAAGTTGAACTGTTGAGGTTGACAAACTGAAAAAGGAACATCTTGAGGGTAAAGCTGTTCTCCCACTCTGACTCTGTCCTTGGCTGTTCTGTGGTGGCACGGAGAGAAAGGAGGAACACAGACATGGACATACAGACACTAGAGCAGCACAGTACTTTAACAAATGCATGCAGACCTTACATACTTGGAGTAAAGTGACTAGTGATTAATTTACATGGAACAAAAAGAGTTGGATCAAAGTCATCTGACTGCAATACAGTATGGTCAGTACTGAGCCAGTACAATGTTTAGTAGTAATTAAGTCTGAATTAAAAACACCCTTTTAGCTTCAAGAATATTAGATCTGCTGGTGCAGTCAACTTACCTAAATTAGTGAGAAGAAGAGCAACTTTTTCATAGAGCTAGAAAAAAAATACAATATTGGCCATAAAAACATATACATTTACTCTATATATGTACAAATGCAAAAGCAAAAGCATCTTGTCTTTTTCTATCTTGGTTGATTATCACTGCCTGGAATTTCTTTATGTCCCACTAACTCTAACCCTAACCCTCTGAGCCACTGCTGCTGAAGGACAGCAGACACTCACCACGTTGAGGAGCATGATGACGCAGAAGTTGATGCAGACTGCTGTTCCCGTGGTCGCCACCTGAGAGTTGTTCCTGATGAGAGCCCAGCCGAAGGCGGCAAAGGTGCTGACGGTGATCACACGGTAAATGACGATGCCAAATACAGCGGCTATCACCACCAGGATCTGTGACGTGCACAAATACCATTACTGACAATAACAATAAATATCAACTTCACATTGCACTTACATTATAAAAAAAAAATCATCAAGTACTTTACAATATGCAAAATAGTGCCTTATTGTACATACAAATTAGTGAGATTCATTAGATGGAACAATATAACACACTGTCAGTAGTTAAGAAAGACATAAAAACTGACACAAAAACACATTTAGCAATGGTTTGTTATAAAAATAAATATAATAATTTGTTAATTATTATTTGCTCCTATGCAAACAAAATAACCCACATGATATGTTACTAATACAAGGCCCTGCCAAAGAATATCAATATATAGAAACCAGGACTTTCCATTAAAATACATTTTAATAAATACAAAGGTGAGGGTGGCACACCTGCTAGTTGACATTTATTTACCCCAGAAACTCACCATGAAGAAGATCCCGGACGCTGAGACAATGAGGCGACTGTATTTGTCAGTGAATGCCTGGTAGGGCTCAGGCTTTCCAGATATGGGGTTCATCCTCTCCTTCTTGGAGTATTTGGCCTCGAACTGGGGGCGTATTTCGTCCTGAAAGACAAAGGACAAAACACTCTTAAAACACCAAAAGATTGGTGAATGTAAGTAGATATGAGGTCTAGCTAGCAGTTAGCTAATTATTGAAGGCAGTGGTTTAACGGCAGACAGTAAACAGTAGAGGGAATTTCTTTTAAACTAAAACACCCTAAAAGCTCGGAAAAGGACGTCCAGTATTTGGGGCTGTAAAGTAACATAGCCGTCCTGTGACAGTTTCGTCAGTGTTTTTAGTGGCTGTACGACTAGATGTAATATTATTTTTCTCCCCTGTAACCTCTAGTTGTAGTTTACAATTTACAATTACATTTATTTGTGCCACTCTAGAGACAATCCTTTGCGGTCCATTGAGTTTAAAGCTGCAGTAGATAATTTTTATTAAAAAAATGTTTTGTCATGTTTCCTGAAACTTTCACTACATCATGACAACTACAAAAAAAACTCTAAATGGAAATATAAATAGCAGCAACTTCGTCTATCCACTCTTTAAACCATTAAGCTGAAATCATTTCTTTACATTTCGGACAGATCATTATTTTTTATAAGTTATCTACTGCAGCTTTAATGTAATGAGCTCATTCATTCAGAGCACAAGGGTGTTCCATATTAAATACCAAACCTTAATAGTTATATTAATAAATAGAATAAAATATACATAGATTAGCCAATAAATGTGAAATTTATAACTAATAACTATTATTTCAGATTGCCTGTGCTTCAGACACAAGGCTGTTTCTAGCTTGTACACTGCGAAGATCCCAAAATGTAAAGAAATTATTTCAGTTTAATGGTGATTTTTGGGGGATTTATCATCCAGCATGTTCAAGGTGTCAATGCTGTCACTGACCCCACTAGCTTATAACTAGCTGCATTTTGCAGTTAGCCACCTTTTTATATCTAGAAGCTTTTGATGGGTTTTTCTCTATTATGATAGTTTATTAGCTCTGTCTTGTCTTCTGTTCTGTACAAAGCAGACTGAGACTCTGAGTCACTTTCACACCCACAAACAACAGTCTTTCAAAGAACACGTTTTCCAGTTTGAGTGTGATTGACAGACGAGGGTTGGAGGTTGACAGACAAGAACTTTATAAACCCACCAAAAATTCTGACAAATTGGAATATGACAACTGTGTCTGAATTTGTGAGAGATTTCACTGTAAAAAGTGTTAATATAATTGTACATTTCAGTGAGTCATAAACTGATTTAAGACAGACTCCCTTGGTGCAGGCTTTCAGTACAACAATTCCACCTTTTTAAATATGCCTGCAGACTGGCATAGACTGAAAAAGCACAAGTAGGCAAACCTTTCTCAAGGGCAGAGCTGCTGTGAAGGCAGAAACATTGTTGAGCAGAAATCTCTTTGGGCGAAGTCAAAAAGCAACTAGTTAGATAATAAAACTACAAAAAAAGAACTCTAAATGGAAATATAAATGGCAGCAACTTTGTCTATCCGCTCTTTAAAATTCCACTCACGGCATTCATTATATCTGAAAGGGAGCAGATTAGCTACAGACACAGAAATTCCCACACTGAAATGACCACATGGAGTGAGCACTTCACCTCCTCTTCCTCCCAGTCGATGAGGTCCCAGTCGTATGCGAGGACAGCTCTGCGCCTTTTCCAGAACTCCAGGAAGACGGTTGCTGGAAGACATAAATAAAACAGCGTCAGGTGTTTGCACGTGTCCATTTGTGTCTCCTGTGGTCATTAAAATTAATTAAAATCAATTAAAATCCTTCCGATTGAAGATTTGGGGTTAACTGTTCACATGGGATTTAATATGGTCTGGTGTTTACATGACACTGACGCATTTAATTTAAACAGCTGTGTGCATGTGTCATGCAATCGTCTTCCTCAACGGCTACCTTTCCAGGTCTATCCTGGCTTCCTTCATTTTTTCTTGGACTTGTTTGAATAGGTAATTTTCCTATTTTCCTACCATCTAGGCATCCAATAATGTTCAGTTCTTTAAGAGTTTGTATCAAAAACAGAGATCCGGTTGTGTGGTTGGAAGCTGCCATTTATTGAAAGTAGAGAAACATACACCCCCACGCATTTACTTCAAGACCTAGGGCAGAGAGAAAAGACGATTTATTTTCTAATTGCTTTATGAAAACTACCCCTCTGCCACTGATTGAAATTTCATCGGTTTGGGCCTGTTTATACTGACTGAGGTGTATGTATGCAGTGTTTTTATTCTGTTTGGGCTTTTAAACTGATTAGAAACAGAACATTAGGTCCATGTGAACGTAGCTACTTTGTTTTTAGTTCCTGGCTCCTCATAAGGTCTGATAGAAACACTTTCCTTGTGCAAGTTTATTTTAGAAGACATTTTAAACACAAGCATTACCATTCAACTAGACAGTGACACTGAAGTGTTTGTGAGTAGTGTCACTGTATAATGACATTCACTATCATTACCACGTGGAGAGGTCGCTCACACAGTGTTCAGGCATGGAGGGTAGAACAAAGTCCTGTGGATAGCTTACTTATTGCACATGTACCTGCCTCTCCACTGAAAACTGAGGCTGCCACTCCACTCACACTGATCAGAACTTTCATCCTGAGAACTTCAAACAAATATGTATTTCTCCATCGTGGCCCTGTCCCCATTGAACGTAGAGTAACATGTTTTTGTATGCGAAGGCTCAGCTGTTTGACATCCCACATGAAGCCAGCAGGGGAGCACACTTCTGAGGAACCTTAATGAAGGGATCTGAGCTGATTCTCTGCTGCAGTTGAACCCAAAAATATATTCATTTGGACAGCAGCAGCAGCAGCAGCAACCTCCAAAACAGAGAAGCAGCGACTGTAAGGTCAGTACATTACTGTCATTTCTTTTAGACTTTTCTTTAGACTGGCTATTCAAAGTATTTTCCTGCATCAGGCTGGGCCTTGGCTCGGTCTGTGCAGCTGTGAAAACAGCTTCATCTTCTACATTGCTCTGCACAGGGCTCCAGGTTCCCTATACAAAAGTTTCAGTTTGGCATGTGTTTTAGTTTGTGTGACGATGTCTACATGTGAGTATAAGTATACACATTACTTTTATTGTTTTATATTTTACTCTGCTGTATGTGCTTATTTCAACAAACTCACTCACACACTTAGAAACAAAGTTCAGCATGTTTACACCGTGCTTAGTGCTCTGTAACTTATTAAAGGTTGTTAAAGCTAGTTTGTAGATGAGATAAGAGGAAGACTTGGATAATTAGTCAGCATTTGAACCTTGTTGAACCTCTAGAATTAACATTTAATATCACACTGACATGATTAAATCATCAAAATCTTGTAATACCTAGAATACTTTCCAATTTTTTTTCACTACACACATCAAATGCATTATTTCTGTCACTTAGAAGTTCTAAAATGAAATGGATTCCCCAGCCCTCACACAGTATCCTCAGTGTTTTCTAATTAAGTCTTTTTAGAATGTTTAAACACTAACAAGCAGACTGGAAAGATTTAAATGAAACAAGTTTAAAATAAGCTAAGCAGGGGACTATTACGACTAGAAATCTTAAATACTACACAATATAACAATATGAAGACAAAAAATGATAAAATGTACCATTATGAAACATTCATTTTCATTGGCTCACAGCAGTTTTTCTCCTTTTCACGTGGCCTTGTTTCCCAACATTAGCTGTTTGTTTTTTGTGTTAAATCACTTATTTAAATTCAGTGTTTCAGTTAATCAGATTATTTATTAGTCAGTAAACGCAGATAACAAACCACCAGCTACATCATCATCTGTGTAGCTGTATTTGGGTCTAGCAAACCCTATAAATGTCATTATCTGGTCATAGTGGGAGTGTAGATGGCAGTCACACTGCAAAAATAGCCCTCGTAGAAACAAGTAAAATATTCTTAATCCCATTTCTTCGATTGAGCAAACAAATCTGCCAGTAGGGTAAACCAATTTTTGTTCAATGAGAATTCTTAAAACTAGCACAAAACTCCACTGAAAGACCTTAAAACCTGGGCCTTAAAACTAGAATGTAAGGAAGTTTTGTTTATTATAAGCAATGAAAACTCACTTATTTAAGATAGACTTTGTTAAAAAAAAGTATTTTGGTCACTTTATTGAGCTGAATTTTAGAATTAATCTAAGATTAATAATTAGCTAAACATTTCTACAAACAACATAATAGCATAAAACAATGAAAAAAAGACTATTTTATCTTAAACTGAGAAGTTGTACAAGCAGTCTTACTCTTAAAATAATGAAAATAATCTTGTTCCTCTGCTGGGATATTATGCAAACCATTGTTGTAACTTGTTACTGGTTAAATCTAGCTCAATATTAGCTGTATTATCTTATTAAGACAAAGTTGGATATATTTTGTTAAAACAAGATTACTTTTCTAATGCAAAACATGCAAGATTATTTATCTTTTTATACAAAAAATAAGACATTCAATTATTTTTCAGGCTTTTTTACTTTCTTCAGATTTCTTTTTTGCTGTGTAGTTTAGAGTTTGCAGCTCTAATTTCTAGATTCTTTAGCTTCAAGTTGTTTTTTTGTTTCATTAATATGGTTGTTAACAGACGCCACCTATGAATTCCTGATCCTTTTAAGTTTTACACTGTCACAGAGCTTCTGTTGCCCTTTATTTGGCTCCACTACATTCACAAAAATGTATCAGCAACGTCTCTTACAAATGTTTTCAGTGCTCGTACAGCCTGTAACATTAACTTCTTTTTAAAGCCAAATTGAAACAAAATATGAAACAGATTTGATCTCTTTAGTGTGCAGAGGGGAAACTTCAATCTTTGCCAGGATGTAAGTAAATACAAGCAAATGCCTCTGCCCGGCTGCACAGGAGGTGCTCCTGGAAGCAGGGATGGGATTCCTCCAGAACCAAAACCTGAGTCTGGGCTTCTCTCAGCCAGAGGTCACCCACTGGGAGTCCACACCACACCTATCATCAACTGGTACAGTGCAATTTCCAAAAAAGTCACACTAGGTCAGTGGTTCCCAACCTGGGGGTGTAAGAAAACTTTAAACATATACACTGTAGGTCTTTAGCTAAGCATTTGGATTATTTCTGTAAAGAAAACTAAATTAAATGGTTTGCTTAGATGGTAAGTATGATTGTTAAATAAATAACATTTCATAATACAGGCAGAGTATTGGGTAGAAAGTTCAAAAAATAACAAGAAAACTCACCTATGATGCAATATTAGTAGAAATAATCTGCTCAAAAGTCATCCAAATCACTTGTTTTACACAAACTTCCTGCAGTTATTGTGTTCAATATTTGGATACTTTGTACAGTTTATCAGATATATAATATGAAATATCCCAAAAGTATGTCACTTAGTCAGTTTACTCAGTGATAGAAAAGGGGTCTCTTCAGGAAAAAGGTTGGGAACCACTGCTCTAGATGAGTCTGTCAACGTGGTCGTTTAAACTACTTAAAGTAATCCCTTCATTTTTAAGAAATAACAATGTTTTTGTTCACATTTCGTGCAACCTTTTATTCTCTACTTTGCCTTGACTTATTATTTGTCCCACTATATCTGCAAGTCACCATGAAACATTTAGAAGTGTGACACCGATAGGGTTTCCAATGCGATCAGGACATTGTCTGAATATGTCTGAGCGTCTGAATTATTAACACACACTAATGTAAGATGCCTGCACTACTTTCAGTAGTAGGTATACTGTAGAGTGAGAGTCCCAGCATTTACTGTCTATGAATTAAACAATTCTAACATGTCTTCACTTTTGATCTATGTATCTTTAAACTCCTGTAAAGGCTTAAAGGTGTATGATGTCACTGGGATTCAGTTTCTTGTGCAGCTTAAACAATGGCTGCATACACTTTTGGTTTAAATACAAATATCCTTGCAGTGTGTTAAGCTATAAAACCACATTCTCTCTTCTTCACCCTCAACAGTTAACAACACAATAATCGTGCTGGGCGTGTTGACCTTTGCCCTCCAGCTGTGTTTGGCTCTGTTCTTCATGCTGAGATGTTGGCGATTGGACAACAGAGTACGAGAGGCTCTCAAACACACGGACACTGTTAACAAACTCACTGGTAAGCATTTTAGTCTGCTGATAATAGTTTCAGTTATTTTTTTTAGGCGAATATTCAACTTTTACAAATCAATAAAGTTTTACTGTCGATCATATGATCAAAAAATGGCAAATAATGAAATTTTGCTAGCAATTCACAAATTAAGAAGCAGGATGCATCCAGTATTTAATAGCCTATGAATGGAACTGCAATAAAAGATATCGGTTTTATATACAGATGCATAGAAGTAAATCATTTTAAAAGAATCAGTTTATCTATCTTTCTTTTGTATACCTCAGCCCCGTCATCCTTCCACCTTGACATTTACAAACAGGCGGGCTATGAGCTATGTGACAATGAAGCTGCTTCATCACCTCCCCTCTCTGCAAAAGCTGAACAATATGAACCTATTACAAACTCTCTGTTTGCACCTTCCATACCCTGGGACCTGGTCCAGCACTGACAGGCTCCGGATCCTGCTGGCATTTACCAAAAGTAAATGAAAATGTGTAGAAAAAAATATAATGAATGCATCCTTTTTCAAACAATGTGTACATTCTGTATGCTTTTAACTGTAGCGATAATAGTTTTGTTTTTAGAGATCTCTTGTATTTTTTCATCATTCTCAATAATAAAAAATGAAATTAAAGCTGCGCTAATCAATATTTTTATATGCGCAATGTATAAAGTGACTATGTTTAATGCGATGGTTCGATCATAATGACGAACCGGCAGACAGTTGTTACCTAATTCAGCAAATCCGCTCAATTCTACAGTGTGTTTTAGGGTCTTTCAGCTCATTGTTTGTGTTTCATGGCCCACAACTTAAACGTTTTTATTCAGTCTCACTGCTCTCATAAATAGCAGAAAGCAGCTGTTATTTTAGTATTAAAGCTCTAGAACACCCGCTGTACGCTACCTGCCTAGCACCAAACAGCAGACAATGTTAGCAACAAGGACAAACACCTGTGAAGTTTGTGGAGCAATGTAAACTGTTAAACTTACCCCAAACAGCCATGAATACCGCAAAGAAAACCGTTGCCCCGTTGTCGAAGAGATGGGTGACCTGAGAAGAAGAAAGGAAGACTGAAGTCCACAGTTAATATTTATCTTTATAACAGTTTAGCTTCAATTAATCCCTTCAAGACCACAAAAAATCGGAATCAAACACACGATGACATCTTGACTGACTGTTAATCTTTCTTTTTCCATGAGTACAGTAACAAAGTGCACAACAGCTGCTGGTACAGTTTGTTCCCTTGCTGTGGAGACAGTACCTTGGCATAGATGCAGCTGTCTGACAGTCTCAGGTAGGGGCAGTACTGGTCACAGATGGGGCACATGATGATGTCAGTGGCCTGGCAGATTTCTTTACTGGAGAACAACATTTAGCCCATCAAACAAAGTTGATATTACAGTGTCCAGCAACAGTGACAGTGCCTTTGGGCAACATAGTAAAAGCCCAAATTCAAGCATGTACCGCACTGCACGTGTGTATCTGTTATGTTTTTATATACAAACTGTTGATAAAGTTATGATCTTCTTCTGAAAAAAGAGTGTGTCCACACATTCAGCGGCACTGTTTCAGACTCTTATAATTTTACACAGACGGACCACGTTTGCATTCACGTGTTAAGCAGTTATTCTAACCAGAGAATCCTGAAGTTTAATTTACTTTATTCTTTTAACAAGCATCCAATAAGTTACAAGGGATAATTTCACACTCCGTTGCCTTAACTGTAATACCAAATTAGTTTTTCATTAAGAAGAGTGACTTAACTTTTTCAATAAATAAGCTGAGTATCTGATCTGTACCTATTAAGTATGCACAGCATAAAAATCTATTTAAGGCAGATAAGGCTTGTTCTTATTTGTTTTCTTAAATGCTTCAAATACAACGCAAGTACCAGCTGTAGGCACACCTATTTTTTTGTCATAAAAAAGAGGAGGTGTGTTTACCTGACCTGGCAGTGCTCCAGAGTGAAGATGCCATACAGGAATACAAAGAGGCCAACCAGAGCTGCAGGAAACAGCATCCCCGTGTACCAGCCGAGCCAGGCGAAGTACAGACCGATCTTCTCCCCGAAATACCTCCTGAAACAACAGCAGGACACAAGAGGAACGAGTGTCCTTAAATATACTTAAAAAACATGAACAGAAAAATGTACTGTATCTGGTAAAACAGCAGATTTATATTCTGATGTCTTAAAGTTCATCGAGAGGCTGTGGACAATTGCAGCCTGTTGCATTAAACATCTATTCAAAGTCAGCTTGCTCACTGGGTCATAATAAAACAAAATCCAGAGGAAGGTAATGGATTACTGCTGCTACTTCTATCTGCCATTATGTTTAGATTTTATATGTGATATTTAAATCCCTTTAAATGTCCCAATGCAGTTACCTGATGAGGTCCAGCGGTTGGTACTTGTACCAAACCCCCCACCAGGCCCAACACTCGTACAACAGGTGCCGGTGGTTCTCTGCTCCGTGCGTTCTGATGGAGTTCTTGCTGTGGTATTTCCCCTGTTACCATCCAAACACACACGTACACAGACATGGAGAAACATAAGGGGTAGTATCAGCATATGGAATCCATGTTTTCATACATGATGCAGAAGCATTTATGACTTAAAAACAGGTGGCAGAATTTAATTCACGAATGGCTTTCTGAAGATCTGGAAAATTACCTCATGAAGAGGGAAAGCTGCCTCATATGAATTGTTGCTCAAAAGACGATTAAGTCCTTGAATCAAAAACAGAATTGTGAAAGGAGAGCAACAAATGTCTGATGCCATCTGTCAAAAGATGTTAAAATCTTGGATAAAGGTACTATAGGGCTGTTTATAACTAAACTGCATTACAGTGACATTAGCTTGTGGAGGGACAAAGCATCAACTCTACAACATAGTTTAAGCTCAGGCTATAAAGGTTGCTTTTAGAATACTAACTGCAAAAATAAAGGTGTAGTGGGACAAAGAGCTGGTTAAAAATCCAATGATGCGCACTAAATGCCAATTACTATATTTCTTCCATTTTCTTTCTGCACTCCTTCCCAAGTTAGCATCCATTTTCTTTTAATTCAAAACATTTCAACTGTAGAATTTGTCATAATGCCCAGGGGACAACTCACCCATCTTATTTTTACCCTCCTCATATTTGACCCGCTGGAGGATGTGGTGGACAATGCGACTTCTGGTGGCGTTGTTGAAAAAAGTGTCTTTGTTGTGGATGATGAAACTGCAGTGAAATGAACCAGTTATTACAAATCTGTCTGAATGATTTGTGTGTGTGTGTGTGTGTGTGTGTGTGTGTAGTGTACCAATTCATATGAGAAAGGCAGCAGAGAAGAGTGGCAAAAGTACAAAAGAGAAGAGGGAAAATGTACCAGGCAGCAGTGTAATGTAAAGTTCATGTCATTTCTCAGGGATTAGTTTTTAAAGGGCAGTTCTGTAAAAACTCACTGATGAATCCTCGATCGACTGAAGGGGGCAGTAAAACTCTCGTTCTCCTCCAAGTCGGGCAGAGTGTCGTTAAACTTCATAGGCTTGCGGGGAAGCCACCCACGAAATTTGTTGATGCGCTTCTCCATCCTGCAAATGAAGTGTCTGTTAAAGCTGCCAGGGCTGAGTTTTACTTCGTCAGCTGAAATCATATTGCCTCTTTGGCTGAACACTCACCTGTTCATGAACTTGTGCCGTCGATGCATGAAAAATATTTTCCTCCTGGAATATGTAGGACGTTGAGAGTAATTAACTTAGCACTCAGTACAGTTCAGTAATGAGGATAACAACAAGGAATGTACTACTGATATTACCATTACTATTACCGCTTCTACTGCTGCTACAAGCATCAGTTCGATATCATTATATTGCTGCTAATAATAAATATGATAATACTACTAATACAAACATTAAAGGTACCCACTGGAGTTTTTCGACCACTAGTAGTGCTATGGAGCAATGACACGTTTTTATGACAAATAGGCCCCTGTTTGGATTGTTGCTGGATTGATACCTATTTCTCACTATTATTCTTTTGATTGACAGTTGGTGGCGCAAAGACGCGCCACAATGCACCAACAAAGGCAGCGAAGAAGACTACAAGCTAGCAAACCTGGATGTAAACAGTACAGGATTTAAAGGACCAATTATGGTGGTCGTGAAACTTTCTAAAAAACCAAAAGGCCTTATCTACAGCCAGTGTTGTCTTATTCTAAGGTAACGCAACAATTCTTATATTCAGGTGATTATACACTAATTAAAACATACCAATAAATATTATATTCCATTTTTGCCAATAGATCCTCCTAAATGTTACACACTAGAGCTTTAAAATATTTAAATGTTGGTTTACAAGAAAACTCCACAGGGTACCTTTACGTTTTTTTCCAGTACAACTTTAAAGAGGGTTTGTTGTCTCACCTAAAAGGCATGCGAATGTTCATGAGCTCTGCGTAGCGACACAGAACATCCCATGGCGCATGAAGCTTCAGAAAAATCACGTCACTGTTTGTTATAGAAGCCTGTAAAGAAACCAAACCCACACACACACACCATTTTATTTTAGCAAAGAAGGTAAGATAATTAAAATAGGGAGAACTATAAAATATAATGTCAGTGCAGACAACGTCTTTAACATCGCTTCAACATCAATATGTTTGCTAGGTTCACCTGTACTGCCTGACAGAGTAGAAGTCAGTCTACATGAATCAGGAGCTAACTAGAAAGAGACCTAAAAATAACGACTCCATGACTCTACACAAGAAACACACACAAGTGGGCTGTTGAAGGAGACAAGAACCACTGACTTCCCCTGCATGTTTTAGATAATATGACCCTGATGCTACTTTATCAGCAGTTAACATACACGTGTACACAAATAACAACATCCACATTTCCACTCTGTAAATGGCCACTTTTTAAACATTAAAGAGCAGCACAGGAGAAAACTGCCATCAGCACATTTGTTTTGGCTCTAAGTGGTGGCTCACCATGAATGCCACAACAGCACTCAGCTGTCAGACCTTATAAGACTTGGCACAAGAGGCTCAGAGTATTTTAAAATTCAGCAATCTGGCCACTGAGATTACATGCATTACAGGACTAAGCATTCAATTTCTTCTTCACACAAATTGGTATTGATGTTGCACATGTTTCCCACTCTGAATGCAGTTGCAGGTTTGCCAAAGTAATTACAGCAAGGCTAATTGTCCATCAGAACAGGAACCTATCAACATTCTTGTGCATTTGCAATCATCAGCTTTCAAAGAAGTAACTATTTTTGCTTGACAACATGGCCAGAAAGTGAAAAAACCCTTTACTGAGCAGTGAGAGCAAAAACAGTTTTTATGAACACACAGATGGAGGCCTGATGTGATTATACTGTAAAGGCCATTCTTCAGGTGGAGCCCTGTGATTATAGCTTCTGCCCTGCTGAGGTGCCCTTGAGTAAGACACTTAATCCCCATCAGCTGATGGAGTGCTGCTCTGTAGCTAAACCTGACCACAGGCCTCTCCTTAATGGAGGGAAAGAAAAAAACATTATATTAATCAATGACCATCTCTATTTTTTTATTTTGATTTGAACATATCAAGTGGTTAAATATTTTAAACTCTTCAAATATTAATATTTTCTTGCGCTCTTACATTACAGTACATACATATCATTGTAAATCTAAAGCTATTTGTTTTTTTGGGCTGGTGGCCAGACAACCAATTTTAAAGCTGCTCCAATCAATATTCCATATACACAATAAATCAAATGACTATGCGTAATTTGTTGCTTGTAGTGATGAACCCACAAATAATTTGAACTCAACTCTACAGCCCTGTGGAGCTCTGCAATGCGTGTTAGTGTCTTTTAACCTTATTGTTTTGGTTTCACGGTACGCAATTTGCTTTGGTTGAGTGGTGTCATTGCTCTTTATCAACATTGTCTCCTGCCAAAGCAGGCAGCACATATTTTCAGCACATATTGAGCTAAAAGAAGAAGGAATATTGGACTTACATTATTGGTGAGAAACACCACCCCGAATGAATGCTAATGTTGCTGTACATCTGCTGGATCTGTAATTAGTCAACTGCTGGCTAACACGTTTGTCTTATCAACTTTATAAGGTGAAAATATGTCAATGTTGTGTTTATAGCTTGTTGTAATACGTCAATTAATGCAGGTTTGAGATTTAACTTGAGAATTGAATTTGTTCATTTGTGACATTTTGAATACTAAATTTACTAAATTCACCAATTTAATCCAGAACTAACTGGAAAAGAACACACAGTATTTTTTTGGCATCTCTATAGCCTACTGACATTTTATGACATTATGATTTAGCTGAAACTTTGTCAACATAATGAAATAATCATCTAGAGTAATGTTCTTCACCTCCTTTTCCATCTGTAAACCCTCTGCACGGATGTTCCGCTCAAATACCTCCCTCTTCTCTGACTGTGAGCTAGACTTCCTGTAAACCAGGATGTAGTCAATGCGGCTCTTTCCATCAGCGAAGCAAAGGCCGCTGGACTTACTCCTCGCCTGACAACAAACAGACAGAGAGACAGAGAGAGAATCAGGAAAGAATAGTAACTGGCCATTGAGAGGAAGCGTCCACCTTGTTTGTCATGCACGGATGAATAAATGGCTGTGAAGCTAGCTGTTACCTTTACACACACCACTCTATAAACTACTCCTGTCCAAAATCTCCAGCTGGGATGAAAGGTGCAATGACAGGGAGCCCAAAGATTTAGTTCCACCACTGACCTGTGGGAGGTTAGAATCGGACTTTGTGTTGTCGTCAAGGATGCTGCTGTGGGTTCCCTGGTTCAGCAGGGTGGAGTCGTCGTCTCTGGATGGGCTGCTGGTGCCTTCTGACCTTTGTCTCCCAAGCAGCACATTAACACCCTTCACAGCTGCAGAGAAGATGAGCAGAGTGTATAAAAGTAATATTACAGGGAATGCTAGTCTACTGGATAAATATTTACACAGCTTACAGACACAGAACAACATTGGCATTCATTTGAAGTCATGTTTCTGTCCACCTGATGAATGTAAGTCCAATATTCACTCTCCCTTTAGCTCTGTTTTGGTCTCCACCAACCTCTGAGAAAATATCTCTCTTTAGCCACTTAATGCTTAACTTTGGTCACCACCAACGCTCATCACCATCTTGATGAGCGTTTGTGGGTTCACATTTTACATTTTAAGAAGGCTCTTTCAAGACAGAAGGGGTTGTCTATTTTATTGTAATGGCACCTGCTGAGCAGAACCATTTCACCTGACAAGCATTTTGTTCATTTATTTACAGGAAATATGCAACAACAAAGAGCCTGTATCTGTGTTACTATGCATGAAAGTTTTACTCCTCACATGGACAGAGGTGCTTCCTCAGGATCCTGAAAATAAACTTGAAAAGACAACCAAGACCAACGGGGTCGAGAGGGCTGTAGGCTAGGGTGGTCATACAGAGCAACAGAGTGCAGTGCCTCCTGATACATGCAGGCACTGGCGACACGGCTCCATAAGCAGGAGAGCTGTCTCAGTCAATATAACAAATGCTGAGGAATTTATTGCTTCAATTGACTACGTTTTTCCTGCTTGCTCATGGTGGGAATTGTTGGGTCTCTGTAAATAAATTTATAAGGAGTACGGCCTAAACTTGCTCTACTTGAAAAGTGTCCTGATTTGGCTCTATACAAATAAAACTGAACTAAACTGAACTGACCCCACACACCCACATAAAGCCAACAAGTTGAACAATTTAAGAAGTTTACAGAAATTTCACGCCCTGGTCTGGGTCTCACCGAGAGGAGGCACATCGTCTTGAGAGCTGGAATCCGGGGCTTCAACTGAGGACTCCTCCATGATGTCGGCCTTCCCACAGGAGGAGAAGGTGAAATGTCTGTCCGCTGCCTGGTAGCCTGAGGCCGAGGCCTGCAGCAGGACTCTGCGTCGGTGGGGGCTCCGCCGCTTGGGCTCAAACCCATGTAGAGATAAGCTCACGCCTATAAGACACAGACAACCTTTTAACCTTTATTTACAGTTCCTCACTCTCTGGTACAATCTATGTCTGTGTACAGTATAGAAATTAGGATTCCTAAAAGGAATTGATGTGGGTGAAAAGGAGCACACAGTAAGTTGACTTATGTCAGCAACTAGACAAGTATTGACTTGAGTTATTAGTCTTGATCAGACAATCTGTCAACCATAAGTGCCTTGTGGTTGAGCAGTAAAAAACACTTTCAAACCCTTTTAACACATAGACTTACTGTCAATTACTCTGAACAGATCATTAGTTCGAGGTTGTCGCCATTTATACAAGACCTGTGCCAACAACTCTACTTCTTTTTTCACTTGCACCAGCTTCAATACTAGAAATAAAAAAAAATTAAAAAGTAATACAACGTTAAATCCCAGGACTACTTTCACAAAGACACTATAATAAGTTTTAGTTTTGCTCATACATGACTCGAATCACACTATCACAAACCTTTCCCCTGGGTTGTTGCTAATAGTGCAAAAGCAAAATTTGAAAACATGTAATGAAAAGAGAAGCAGGAAAATAGAAACTAAGACAGATAAAAAAAGGTAGAGAGATGCGTTTAAGTCAAAGACAGAAGACAGAAAGAGAAACAGAAAATGACAGCTCAGTAACTTTTATCTACTTAAAAGGGATTAACCTTGAAAGAACTTGAAATGAAAGAACCTCTCCATGGGAACACACACACTAATTGGGTCTATTTGTCAACCAGACTATGTCCTTTGGGGGTCAGAAATTATTCAAAGCTAAGCAAAACAGCTTAATGATCTAAATTGGTCTGTATCTCTTACTTTCAGTCCCCTGGAGAGCAGGAAGACTTCAGTAGAGGTGGGTGGCTGTCTTAGAGGTCTGCGTGCTGAATTTTCGTTTGTGACACGAAAGGTGACTCAGCAAAATTTTTCTGCTGAGCCGTAGTACCGGGGACAGAGATAGAGGTTGGGGAAGCGTCTCGGCTCTTAATCAGCCAATGATGCTTTGGAACATTGGAGCCTGTGGATGCAGCTAATGGAAACACAATGAATTTCATACCAGTGGAAAATCAGTGCTCAGCGTCCTTTTCCTTTACTCAGAGTGGCAGTAAATATTTCACTATACCGGGGTTTAGCTATCCAAACATAGAGAAAACATTCCCATGAATCTGAATTTATCAAGAGATAAAGTTGATAACATATCCAGTGGAATTTAATTTTCAAGTTGAACGAGCCTCATGGTTTAATGTGCTCTACTGTATGTTAATGAAACAGAGCCTGAAAATTAAAAGACTTAAAAGACTGCACTATGGGGATCAACAGCATTAACTTGTTAACTTCACCTCTCTGTATTCAACACGCTCACCGACACCGTCCTCAGTGACCCACAGCGCTCCCAACGCCGCTCTCATTAAAGGGAGAGAGAATTGCTTCCTATAAATGCTGGCTCTCAGAGGACTGACACACTACATATTAGCCTACATCATGCTGCAGTGCCGAGACCGTGGCCAGTCAAACAATGTATCCATCAAACTTTAACAGCCCCATGGTACGTCTGCAACCTAAGCCACGACTGAGGTCACATGGTACTGAGGACTTGGCAGCACACAAGTGTAACAGACTGTTTGGATCTCAGTTACTGTACAACTTAAGGTGTTTCATTAGCTATCTGATATGATATATGATATATCTTTTTTCCCCATTCTTTCTACTTACAACTTTCAGACAAAATTCATAGCAATGCACTACAAATCTAGGAAATACACACCATCTACAATGAACGGTCCTTCAAATTTGTGGGAGCTAACAAATAGCTAATCTTAGCTACAGTAATGTTAGCTAACAGAACTGTTCTGATATGTTTGAATGCTTCATAATGGCTGATCATTTACCAGCACATGATCAAACATTTACAGTCACTACAGGCAATATTATTTTCCTTTGAGCAGGTTTTGTTGAAAAAGAATAGAATCTTCACCAGGGGCCTCCAGCCTTTCTGAAAGTGAGGGCTACTTAAAGGGAGAAAACTGTCGAGAGGGCTACTCTGTATACTTAACATTCATGTTGAAATGATGCTTTGAATAGAATAACAGCGGTGCGTATTTCCACCTTTTGTCCTTTTCATATACAAGGTTGAACCATTGGAATTGCGGGTGTGGAAGCAATTGCCTATTCACACATTCAACAGGCATGAACCAACATTAGCATTCATTTATCCACCTGATGAACATAAGTCAAGTATTGACACGCATTAGATCTGTTTTGATGTCCACGAACTCGAGATTATTCAGGTCTTAGTTTGCTAGATGAAATTACAAATAACTTGCTGATTTGAATCATTTTGATCAATTCAGTTTAAAAATGTATGTGTTGCTGTGTAATTCATTTATTCGCTGTGTTATTTTGCAGTTTAAAAGACCAACAGAGCGAGTCTTCTCTTCTAAAATGATCTAGCTGATCCCATTGTGTCAGTGTCAGTAGTCTGATTCTCCTTTCATGTATAGTATATCTTATGAAAGATTTAAACACATTAACTCAGTAGTTCCAACAGACCTCTAGAATTTGGAGCAAGTAGCTCTTTCAAAATTCTTCATGCAGAAGTAAGTAGGCTAAGCCTGTTATTTAGTAGTGTGTAACAGATACATATTTAATCAGCATTTCATATCTTGTGCTGGTCATCTCATTTTCAGGTTGTAGCTGCTGTTTCTGCCTTCTCCGTCAACAAAATGTGATTCCAGACAGTTGAGTGTGCGGTTAGGGAGTATTAGGTAACTTTAGTTACTTACAGATGTTGCAAGGAAGTGGATCTACACTGGATTTGAATGTGATAAAATACCTTTACAACCAGAAACTATAGTTTCTGAGATGTTGTTCACTTCTAAATGCTTAGTTAATGACATCCCCCAATAAAACTGCCTTGACTGAATGGCTGCTTTCATATTTAGCGGACCATTTATCACATATCTCTGCATATATCACAAAGTCAATGGAAAGACACGGTTACGGTGCATACCACAAAATCCCAACGGCCACAGTTTGATTCTGGGACTGGAAACATTTGTTGCATAACTAAAAATATAATCCTAAAATCGAAATCGCCTTGGTCGCACAAATTCAGTTTTTTTATTAAAAAGTGAACATTTTTGCTCATTCCGTGGTTTTATGAATCAACTTAATAATAGCTCACATCTGACGTCTGTACAGTTAGTACATTGGCTGTTTGGGGCGAATAAACATGGACTGTACAAACAGTCCAGCAGTCAAATTCGCGCAAATGACATGGAGCGAAACTTGGCTTCACTTTCCGTCTGAGCACACGTTCATTGACCCTGATGATGTCATCAAGGTTATCTTCGCTTTGCTTTAGAGACTTCAATTTTTTCACACAAAGCTGTTAGTTACAAAGAAGTGGCCGCTCATCAGGCAGGGAAGATCTGACAAGATCTCAGATGCTACAGAGTTGCATTATGGGAGGTGTAGGAACCAGTATTTGACCCATTATAGTGACTAAAAGTTAAGATATTTTAGCCTCTGTTGCACCAATTTTTTAAAACCAGCTTCTTACAAAGACCCAACTTCAAGTGCGATACTAAATCACTGTGTGCCTTTAAAATACATTTGGTTTGGCTATTAATTTGTCACACAGTTAGCCTGCAGTACCACTATATAAGAAGCAGGAAATGATGTCTATACGTAGTATATTATTACAGTTGACATATGAATAACTACTTGATGTGCGTTTGGACTCAAGTCCCGGTTTCATCATTTGCTTATTTGATAAATAAAGCCCTATTAATTTTATCTTTGCCCTTTTAATAACAACGTGGTTCCTTGCGTAACACAACCCAACCTGGAGATGACAGGTCCCACTGAGAAGAGAATTAAAGACTGCAGGGGGAATGGGAAGAGCAATGGGAGGTGGTGGGGGTGTGTGAAGTGTTGCCAAGGGGATCAGGTGTCAGTCACTTGTGACGAGGAATGGTTCGTTCCATCTGGATGCACCCATCATGCCCTAGGATGGACGGGGGGGGGGTTGCATGTTCTCCCTGACGGCAAGCAGTGGGGATTTAGCGCCTGCCAACCTGCTACTGGTGCCTGGATGGCAGGGTCGCAGCGCGCACACAGTTGTGCGCACACACTCCTCGCAGATGCATGACCCATTTCTGTGTGTTACAACTGATACATCATGGAGGATGAAGAAGTAGAGAAAAAATTTACATTCAAAATCAAGAGAAGAGGGGGACAGCTCGGGGAGAAAATGAGAGTGTGTGTGTGTGTGAAGGTCAAATGCTTGCATGGCCACAGGGAACTGCGTGAAAGAGATGAAGCAGCGTAAAGAGGAGTGTGAGTAGGACACAAGGCAACACATGAGAGAGAGCACTGCAGCAAAAAGAAAACATCCACTCTGGAGAACAAGCTGCCTTTGCTTCAAGACAACTTGACGAGACTCACCGTGTGAAGGTGGAGAGAGGTAGAGAGGCTGCTTCACCCCTCAGAGGGGAAGAGAGAGAGAGAGAGAGAAGGGGGGGGGAGGCTTCCCAGCAGCCGCAGCAGACGCCAAAACAGCCAGAAGACTCTTCCCCATACACACACACTCACACACACAGCGGTCACCCCTCCTCACCCCCCAGCCCCAGCGTGCAAATGACCTCGCTGAGGAAAACAAACAAACACGACGTCCCACGAGGGAAAACAGCATTCCCACTTTTTACTCCTTACTCCTCATCACTGCATCTGTCGATCCGACATAGCTATACACGCCAACACCTACACTCACACAGACGCATCTTTCATAGCGTAGCTGCTGAGAGCAGGCAGCAGTACAGCTTCACAAAAGCTGTCAAAGATCTTCGCTGGAGAGAAAAAAACACAAGCATGAGCAGGATGTTTACAGTGAGATAGAGTGAGAGAGAGAGAGAGAGAGAGAGAGAGAGAATGAGAGAGGGAGAGAGGAGGTGCATGCCGCTCATCGGCATTCTTAATCAGCCTTCCCTGGCAGCCAATCAGAGGTCAAGCTGCTCTGGAAGCAGCCAATCGGGAAAAAGGGCTGGTTGTGTCAGTGTTGCTGTAGCCCAAAACAATGACAGTTGGCACTGATGATAGTGTGATCCTCTGATGGAGACTCAAGGGCACACACACACACACACACACACACACACTTGTGCACCTGTCCTGTATATATTTATATTTTATATTTTTTGTCAGTAAGTATAAAATATACAAATATATATATACAGGACAGGTCCGCATTTTTTCAAATGTATCCTAAAACAGTACAAAGATGAACCATTCCTCCTGTCCATACTGGCCCTTTTGTAAATCAGTTTAAGTAAAGAAATGAAATATAATATTCATAGCTATGTTTTTATTAGTGCATAATCATCTGCAAATAACAAGTTTGTTTTTATTAGCTTAGAAAGAGCCGTTAATATCTACAGAGGGAATGGATCCTCTTATACAGTGTCTACAGTAGCCAGGAATGGACAAACCAAA